GAAATAGACCCCATAAATGACGACCCCCTTTGTGCCTTAAACGGCATTTTAATCCAATAATCTTTTTGCAAAAAATCTTTATATTTAAACGTTCCCTGTGTAAGTCTCAAAAGTTCTGACTTTTTTTGCGAAAAAAAAATTCTGCACTAAATAATTACTTTTTTTAGTAAAAAAACCTACTGAAGTCTCAAACTACATTTAAATCCAATTTCAATTTTTGTAGCAAGTTTGTCAAAGATTTTTTAAAGATTTACTTCATAGAACAAGTAATTCTGCAAGTTTTGAAGACAATTACCTTGATTGAAGCAATCGTTTCAGACAGTCCAACCAGTATCGTTTTTCAACCTCCGTTCATGACTACATTTCCATACAAAACTCCGCTGAAGTATCGAATAAACGATCAATCCCACCAAAGAAACGTTAGGCTTAGGGACAACCTGGATGGTAGAATAAAACTATTTATAAGCGAATCTGAGCCAAAAAGATTAGACGAGCTGTGGATATTCCAGGCAAATAACGCTCTATCATAAAGTAGTTGTTTTCAATCATGTTTAGCTGTCTGAAAGCGAAAGATGCATAAGATACAGATGAATCTTTTGCTAGTTTCTTCTAAAGTGATGACTAATAGGTAAGAAGCGGAACACCTTCAAACCTCTGAATGGTTTTTAGTTCTGAGCAACGATTCTACAAATAGAAGTCTGTAAATCTGTTCTTCAACAATTCTCTAAATTTGTAACTTAGATTCTCCTCTACTAAGGTACTACAATTCTCATTATTATTCGTTAGAAGCCAAAGTGTAACGACACAAAGATTGTTATGCAGATTACTCTGATCAAGCTTATAGATAATGCTGAAAGTTACGCAAACTAAATTTTCCATCATCAAGTCGATAAAACAAACCTGCTAAATTGAATGCTACTGGGGAAACATACGTTATAGATACAGGTCACTGCAACGACTGTAAATATAAACTTTTTTTCTGCCTATTTCTAAAAAAATAATATGGTTTTAAAATTTTTGAGATGATACATGGTATACGTACAACTTAATTTAGCCCAGATAACAGAAAACCTTCATTCAAACAAAAGCGATAATGTCATAATGTCTTTTTGATGTCATCGAGATTTCAGCATATTAGACTACTACGAAAAAAGAAACTGTCTAATAAGAACCGGAAAAAAAAACATTCTACTTCATGAAGATGAAAGAGAAAAGAAGAAGGTAAAAGAAAGTTGCGGTCAAATAGCAACAATTACAAAGTCCAAACAAATTAAACAACCAAAACTCAAAGATCTTTTTTACAATTTGAGGAACCACAATTTAAATTGATGTCTATAATTCTAAGTACATATTTAATCACAAATATATGCATTTATTTATAAATAAATGAAATAGACAAATAAATAAATACATATATATTTATATATTATATAAACAATAAGTATGTTTTGTTGAGCCTCTATTTACAGCATCGTTCAGGCCGGTTAGAAGTTAAATATTGGTTTGTAAACAAAAATATTACTTGCAGTAAGAAGTAAGAACTTTGGGACAATGGCTACTGAACACACCAAATGGGTGAAATGACTCAATTAATGAAACTGCCGGTAATCAGACAGCAATTGCTTAGTGTTTCTGTTTGATCATCACAGCGGACAGCAGCAATTAAGATGTCATTAAAGTTTTTAGAAAAAAAAAAAATTGTCAAAAAAAATTGTCATTAGAAAATTGTCAAACATAGTAGACACAGATTCAATCTGACAGGTATGAAAGGTTCACGCTACCAGCCATTAAGCTATTGAGTGTTCCAAAAAATGCCAACTTCTTGGCGACACGAATCCGTGCTTTTTATGGTTGCCTGCCTGCTTGCTTGCCAGCTTGTTCGTCGCCATCGCTATAACGTGACCAACAAATATATCGCATTTCAGCGCTCCAATCGACTGGTACCACTGAATACTTCATAGAATACTTCTGGCATCTTTGAGTAGCCATCCAATGCCTAATCAAAGTTATTGTCAGATGTTTTTGTGGTTGCTATGCTTTGTCTCATCTGTCTCGCCTAGCTTATAACGGTGAGTCTTGTGAATTCGTCGTCAACCTAACAGTTTGTCTGTCGAGTTGGCTGGTTTTTCAGGTATGTATTTAATTTTTCATTTCTCGTTCTATAGCTTTTGGCTTGTGCTTAAAGAGCGAAGAACGAGAATAAGAGCTGTTTGGGGAAGTTAATTTTTTTGGAACGCGTTATCTTCACTGCATGATGTGCATTCAGCTGTTGATTTTATAAAATGGCAATGGTTACCATCATTATTTGATTTTTTTTTTTTTCTTCTCATCCTCGTTGCCTTCCTCACTATGTCTTTTCGCTTTTAATTGACTTCAGGGTACTTCTAATTTAATGACGCCACACGTAATCCGTAATTGAAATATGCCAAAAAATTCTGAAGTATTCAGCTAAAGAATGTAAATTTTTTGATTTCCGAACAAGGGAAAAGAGCAGTCAAACAAATGGTTCGATGCCATAACCTAAAGACAATTTTCTGAAAGCAGTCACCAGCGTCGTTGACTTCCGATTAAAAGTCGGTTTTCTTTTTTCACGCCTCTGGAATTGCCAGTTGCAAAATTTCCTCGCTGTGGTCAACGAGTACGAACGGGAAGCGTCCAGTGGACGCGCATTGCGTATACTGCCACCGAACGAAAAAAATGCCTTGATTTCTTATCTCGTGCATTGCTCAGCGGAGTTGATGCGAACAAAAAAAAGAAATGAAATATTCATAGTTTAAACCCTGCCATCTTGATGCGGAAACTTAGTATTTTTGGGGTTTAAAGTGACTGTAAAGAAACCGCAGGGAGAAGGGGGGTAAGATTGGGGATTTTCTAGTTTGAACTGTTGTTCTTGAATTGTTTCTTCCTTATCTGAGACATTTTTTCTTTGTCTCTTGCTTTTTTACTTTCTGCTTGTTATTCGCTTTTGAGTTGACTAGAGAAGATTGTTGCTGAAAATGCCTTTTCGCTCAATTAGCATTTAAGCGTTTACCGTCTGTCCTAGTGCAAACATTGGAAAGGCCATTTGAGCTGATAGCAGTAATGAGTTTCTTCATGATACATGGTTGTTTATGTTTCTTTTCCACCTAATAGGAACTTCAAATTGGGAGAGTTAAAGGTAATGTGTCTCATTAAAAGGCATTGTCAGTTTTCGGGATAGTAATCAAGATAATCTTTTTGTACTGGTAATGAGTTAAAATAGTTTTATTTAGTCTGAGCCTTTGTCATTAAGTCAGGAATGTTGTTGTAAACCAAAAAAATTGATCAAACTATATAAATCGCTTTACCATTTTTACAGGTCCTTACTCAGGCTGGTTCACCCATTAAGCTCCAGGTTAAAAAAAAAAAACTATGGAGGACTCAACAGATGTTTACGACCGGTTTAATCTGCACGTTTTTATCTCCTTTTTTTCCTAATAGAGACGTATAGTTTTTGGTCGTTTTTATTTGTATTTCTTTCGAATTTTTTGAAAGAAGATTCAGAAAAACAGATTGAAATTTTCAAGAGATTACTGGTATTCTCTCTCTCGTTCATTTTTTTTCTGTCTTTAGGTATGTTTCGCCGGAGATGTTTTGTATTGAACCGCTTGAAAGGGACGGTGGTTTTGCGTCCGATTCGTATATGAAAATTGATCGAGACTCAGATGAGATTTCTTTACAGAGTGAGCTTCTCGTAAGCTATCTCAAGTTTCTTTTCCTCTAAAGTTGATAATAATGATAGTTATTTAAGGTCGTCGCGACAATCCAATTTCCGTTACCTCCGCCGAAGTCAAAACAATCTATGGTGTATTAGGGGTCGTGAAACTTGTTTCCGGTAAGAAAGTTTTCTTCAGCACAGTTTCCACATTCTTGCCATTAGTGCTCAGATTTCAGTCAGTTTTTCCTGGACTGTTTTTACTTGTGCTAGTAAATAACTCTGTTCAGGATGTGCTTTGATTACCATAACGAATGCCAGGCTTATGGGCTCAATTAATGGCCAGGATATTTGGCTTATCACCGATACTGAATTAATTCCATACAAAAGAACTACACTACATTTAAATGAGCGACAGGTACCAAACAGTGCAGCTGCATTGAAATTTAACTTTTTTTGAAAAACCTTAGCTGCTCTGGAAACTGTTTATTAGTGAATTGAGATTATGACACAGGAATGTCTGTATTTGCTGAAACAAGCAAACAATGGTAGTTTTTGACTCAGTAATTTTCTTCTTAGAGGTGGTATAACAAGCATTTTACGGAAATGATACAGTTGGTTCTTGCCACAGGTGGTTTTTATTTTTCCCGTTCTTTCGACCTGTCACATTCATTGCAATGGTTAGAGGAAAATACAACCCCCAACTTCAAACAGCAGCCTATGATGGAAAGAGTAAGTGTTGAGTGTTCTCTTTCCCCACTCTTTTTTTCATCTTTTAATTACCTTGTTAGTTACCCTACATCCTTTCATGACCATGACAGGTTTTTTTTTTTTGCCTCACCCACTTGCTGAGGAAAGTAATCTCCGTTTTATTTCTACTTCACTCTACCGTGTTAGCAAGGATCGGCTTCTGTAATTTAGGCCGATAAACGTTTTGTTTGGAACCGGTATCTTAGTGCTCCTTTGACTGCCCGTCCTGAATTGCGCCGTTATGTTCTTCCTGTTATTCATGGGTTCTTTTCCTGTAGACGATGTGTTATTGGTGTGCACGTCTTCCATCTTATTCTTATTTCAAGGCGTTCTGTCTATAGGTTAGTTCGTATAAAAGCTGTATTTTAAGGTTCTCTAAAATTCTTTGCAAAATTTTTGTAGAGCCGGTACGCGCTTTTATATGCGGGGATCTGGAGTTGATGGTAATTCAGCAAATTTTGTTGAGACGGAGCAGATAATACAGTTTGACAAGGGCAACGATATGCGCAAGAGATATTTAACTTCATTTTTACAGGTTCACTCATAGATAGAGCTAACGGTGGTTTTTTCCATCTATTTTGATTTATAAATGTGTAAAAAAGCTTGTTTCACAGACTAGAGGTTCCATCCCGCTTTACTGGTCTCAAAAGCCAAATCTACGTTGGCAACCAGATCCGTTTATGAAGCCAGCTGACGACCAAGTGAAGGCTTTTGTGGATCACATGGAAAACCAGCGTTCAAACTACGGGGGCAAGCATGTATAAGTTTCGGTCTTTATTTTAGAACTTTTCTTATCTTTCGGTTTCTTGGGTTTGTTTCAAACAACTAGGAAAAATTATTCATGACGTCATGCCGTATCACGCTGACTTCGTTCTGTGTAATCCAGGTAATTGTTAACCTTGTGAACCAGAGAGGTCGTGAGAAACGTGTTGGAGGAGAACTAGAACGTGTAGTACTGAGAGCTAATTTGGACTATGTTAGGTAACCTTTGTCTGTCTTTCATCGCTTCGGAAATGAACATCTATTTTTTTAAAACGCGAATCTTTCTAGGCACAACCCGTTCGATTTTCATCGAGAGTGCCATGGTCTCAATTGGGATCGCCTCAGCCTTTTAAGGGACCAGATTCGTAGCGAAATAAGTGCTTTTGGGTAGCCTTATAGTAATCTTTTTTTCCTTGGGACCCGTAAAAGATTCTTATGATGGTTTGCTCATTTAGGTTCTTTGCATCAACAGGTTCACAGGCAGAAGATTCTCGGCAACAGACGGGGTTTTTCAGAACAAACTGTATGGACTGTCTTGATAGAACAAATGTCGCGCAAGCAATGATAGCTAAGGTTTGTATTGAGTGGCTCATCTTTTGGAATTCTATGTCGTAAAGAAACTCGTGATTCTAGTGAAGCATTTTCAGGAATCACTTCATGATCAGCTTGTGTACTTGGGCATTATCGAAGAGGAGACAAACCTTGACGACTTTGTTGACTTCGTAAGCGTCTTTAAAAACCGTAAGTTATTCATTCTTTTTTTCTGATAATTATATGTGCCTGCCTAAGTTGTTATTTTAGTTAGCGGCATTGTGACAAATTAATTTTGAGTACAAATTTTTTTAAGTTTGGGCAGATAATGGCGATGAATGCAGTAAGCAGTATGCCGGTACTCCAGCACTAAAAGTAAGCTTTTTATAAATAAGCTCTGAGTGCCTGTACATTAGTAAGTCCCTTATCATATCTGCATTTTAAGGCTGACTACACTAGGGTGGGTAAACGTACTTGGAACGGAATGTATCACGATGCGATGAATGCTATTATACGGTACTTTAGGAATAATTTTGCGGATGGGTATCGTCAGGTTAGATTTTTAAGTGTTTCTAAGATTTGCCGTTGTAGTTCTTTATTATTATTTTATAGTAAAATAATTGGTTTTTCTCGTACCGGTATTTGTAGGATGCTATTGATCTCTTTCTTGGAAACTTTCGAGTAGATATCGAGAAACTTCCCCCAAATTTTGAAACAACGATTTTGAATTTTGACTACCATGGTTGGGTTGTTTTGGGCGCTATTTTTGCAGCAGCAATGATGATGCTATGTGTGCTAGTTGCTGGTTGGTTCAGAAATTATACTATTGCTTAAGACCCACTACTTTAGAAAGTAAGAAGATATTTCAAAGAGTTAGCATTGATCAGCAACAACTAAATTTTCAGAAAGCATTGTGGCAACCGTCTTCTGGCTGATTGTCTTTCTTGCTCTCATGTTCTTTATATACCTAAATGGTGCGGAGTTTGTCAACGCTCCCAAGTTGAAGACAGAGTAAATCAGGACTTACTATCGAAAAAATACCAGACCCACTAACATTAAGTTATTGAGTTTAAAGTATGGTCGCTGTCACACTAGCAAAATTACTTTCACTTTTTTAAACACGTTCATACAGTGTTGCGAATTTACTGCTGTGTAGAGATTATCATAAAATAATTGTATATATATATATATCGCTATTTTAGGGTGAAATAACTTCGCCAGCACTATGTATGGCGGTTTCAAAGCAGATGAGCATTGGTTTTTCGGGTCCCTTCTCCGCTGTTTTTTACTGTCACTATGAGGAGACCTTGGAGTTGAATGCTATTAAGCCTCAATGTAGAACAGTGAAGAATAAGAGCTATTTTGATTGCTTTTATTCAGCATTACGAGATAACAGAAATTTTTTACCCGTAAAAAATAAGTACCGTGATATCCTTGTAATATGATTACTAATGAGCTTACTACTTAGACAGACACGATTCAAGCACAATGCAAGCAGCTAGCTAGTACATCAAACTTAATACATATGGCAGAGACCTGCACAGTTAAAGATTTTACAAGCAAGTCAAACGCTATAGAGCATCTTATAACTTCGCTAACAGAATTATCAACATAACAAAGAAACAAAACGAAACAGGCCAGCAAATGACGGGAACCACAATGAACAGGATTGGGGAGCTCCACGTAAAGCTTAAGCTGGTTTCCGGCAAATGGGAATAATACAGTGGCAACAGTGGAAGCACCATACAATCAGTCGGCAAAGCAACGGTTCCGGCTTCTGATCTTGCAAGCATCAATTCAGTCACAGCTTTTTTTGGACGACTCAAGTGACTCATCTGATTCTATTCTCATTCCCTGTCGTCTGGCATTCCTCTCCACTTCTTTTAGGAACACCTTATACGTATTTCTTAACCGGTCCATTAAATCATCCACCTCGACTACGGACATACCTAGACAAAGCTTTTATAAATCCTTACAAGCTTACAGCCATGAAACTGTTTCTCGGGACTTCTAAAAGTTTAAAATTTTGCAATAAAGCGATCACCAATAGCACAAGCGACATTCAGGTAGCCATCTCTTGTAGTTGAACAGTGGGACCCAAAGTTTTCAAATTCGAAGCCACCAATTTTTTTCTTGACACCCATACAAACGACTCTATAAAAGGCTTCAAAAAATCTAACTGAAAATCTCCAGATGAGCACTAACTGCCGGGCCCATTCTAAATCAGTGTGGCACTGGTAACCACGGAATAATCACTGACGGAGAATTAAAAACAACTCCTAACAATTACTCTTTCTTTAAAAACAATGAATGAATTTGTAGGACGAACATACCGAGCGCCGGTCACTCCTCTAGCAAATAACATTGAACCAAACAGTGTCTGTTCGGCAGGCTGAAAGCCGTTCAGCGTCATGGCTGGAAGAAATTTTAAATTTTTTTAGGCGGAAAAAAAGAACAAAATACTTCCTTTAACTCTTTTATAAAACATGTTCAGCTTTATGAAACCAACGAGAAACAAGTCAGTGCTATTAATAAAAAGAACAGTTACCTAAGGAAATGGTATTTGAAGGGACATCAAGTAAACGCTGTTTAACGCTTTCAGCAAAAGCTGCCATCTTGCTGCGAAGCACTAGGTAGTGCTGAGCTTGCATGTCATATAAATTGTACAAGCCATTCTTGCCCAATTCTAATAATGTTATTACAAGGTCTCGCGATGGTACTATAGATGCTCTTCCTAAAACAGCAGCACGAAATTTTCTTCATTTACAGAACTATCTTTTCTGCTTGTAAATCTTGCAAGACCAGCTGGAACTGGTCATGCTAAATTTACAAGCAGTAAAGCTAACTAACGCAAATTAAACGCATAGTGAAAATAAAGTTTCATGAAAGAACTCATTTTTGACCAATTCAAGGGATACCTGGATAAAACTCAGCAATATCGTCTATAGTACCCTTATCAAATCCGGCTACAACTGAACCACCTACAGGTACTAAGAAGTTTTTGTCCAGGGACTGTACAAAAGCATCAATTTTTCCAGCACTACCTGCCTATAAAAAAAAATGCAAATAATAAATCTAAATAAAACAACAGTTCCTATAATGCCGTATTTCAAAGTGACCTCTGAAATCAATGTTCTACATTTATGTGACTGCAGTCCATAAGCATTATTGACAAGATGTCGAATTCCAAATTCGTGACATAAATTTCCAATTACATTTAAGCTGTCTGGAGCTCGAGGAGCAAAACAAGATGTTGTGCTCAATACAGCCAATATCTAAAACCAGAGAAAAGATGTGTTTCAAACTACTTTAGAAATAAAATTTCAAGCAAAAGGAACAAACTTCATCTGGCTTTTCCTGAAGCACTTTGCGTAGGGTTTGTACATCAGTGATTAAACTATCTCCTTCAAAAATGGAGTCCAGTATAATAGGTTCTAATCCTGAAAGTTTTTGAATAGACGAAAATCATTTTTCATGCAGTTGCCTTTCTGACAATACAACGACTTCCAATTTACAGAAAAATAATTTATCGAAAGCACAACTGCTGAACTAAACAATCAGACACTAACCAACATCTACTGATGCAAATCAGAAAAGACAAAAAAGAACGAACTAAACGATACTGGGTATTTCTCACCAGGAACAAATATTGATTTGAAGCCCGATTTCTGATCAATCCTCAAAAAAACGACGTACTTCGCATTAGGTTTACACCTCCGCCAAGAACCAAGGCAAAGAGACAGTGCCATTCCGGTAGCCATCGGCACAACGATAGCAGCACTAACTTTCCGGATGCCTTCAAACCACAAGAAAGAAATAAAATTGTATCAAACTTAGCAAACTTCCAGCAGCGAAAAAACTCTTCTGTGAAAGATTGAAATGCTCAGGCTGTAAAACTCAAATTTCCTCCCATACCTTAACGAAAGGTAAAGTAAGTCTAAAAGTTCGACCCAACTATCATAAAAACAATGAAGAATAATTAGTATGAAACTGTTGCAACCCTTTTTGTAATTCACAATGTACTTTTTACCATCCCTGCAAATTGGAGATGGAGATTTAATTTAAACTGCCTGAAATCTAACATTGTAATCGGATCTCTACGTTCACAAATTGTACCGATGTGTCTTATAGCATCCAATGCTAACGAATTTGCTAAGTTAGCTAATATTGAAGAACCAAGTGCTTTGGGTTGACTCTCGGTCAAGTTGCCTGAACGACCCATGCCATGACATAATCTGCAACGTCACCACAATCGTCAGAAGCGGTTCAAGCAGTAAAGTAAAGGTAGTGGGGATTAAATGATCTAACTCACCCCATATGCAACTCGTTGACCAGTGATGAAGTTACACGTCCTTCCCGTTCTCCCGCACCGACAATATGCTAAAAAATGATTCACTGTTTCTTTCCAAAGAAAATCACTTCTACAATAATCACACATGGAATAGGGAAACTACTTTGGTAAACTTTGCCCAAATGAAGATTCATCAAAAAAAGACTTGAAAAAAGGAAGAAACCGAACTGACCATGTCCTACCACACTGAGAAGAAACCTGTTTGACAAATATAAAATGAAACATCTCAAAATAGAGAAAAGTGACATCAAGATACCTTAACTAAACATTTATTTGTTCTTTTGTCATGCACAACAGCTACTTGGTTGTTTGTGTCAAGACCAGCTAAAGCGCTGATAAATTCCCGAACAAACTGACCAGGTAATCCGTCATCAGGAATCTTCCCCTGTCAAAGACAACGTCAAGAGAATATCGGATTAATTATTCAAGACTTATTAAAATATTAAATGCATTCATACGTATGTTGCAAACAGATATAAAGCTACTCTAAAAATATGCTTTATAAAAATTTCAAATGCGAAAAAGATGGCTTAATATGAAGAAGGTACTTTTATCGTTGGCAGAAGTGCATAGTACTTCCTCAATATTAAATTCTAAGTTCTTTTTTCTTGAAACTCTTTTGAAGTTTTTACCAGATGTTTTTAGAAAAGGACTCTTTATTGGAAATTAACAAAAATAAGTCTAACCAGAATTTTTTAAGTGGACATCCACAGCTGCAAAACTCCCGAAAGGAATAACTCAGCATTTACTATCATAAACGATTCTAGTACTTTTACAGTAATAGTGAGGAAATCACTTTTGTTTTTGAAGACTTAAACGATCAGTGTATGCGTGCATAACTGGCAAAGAAATTTGAGATAAATTTAGTTTACAACCTACCAATTCGCATATGCTTGCAAATGAACGAGATCGCCTAGCTAAATAATGCAATGCCATATCAATCTGAGACAGCTCCGTATCTTCATCCATGACGGCTCGGAAACAAACAGCTCTTCCTTCAGTATAAAAAATACAAGGAAAAATTCTTACACACCGACTCCGAAAAACAGATCTATCGTTCCCAAAGCTAAAAACATATTAAAAACAACTTCATATTTATGTCTAAAAATCAACAACGTACATGACCTTAACAAATGCATAATTTTTAAACTCGAAAAAATTCAAAAGAAATTAGAGTAAAAAAAATTTTTTTCTGCAAGCCTACAGCTTTTCACCAATATAATTGAGAGAAAATAAGTTAAATTAAAAAGATATTTTTTTTTTCATGTCTTAAAAAAAAAACCATCATGAAGAAAAGAAAAAAAAACAAGTATAAGTAATGTAAGTTCCAGAAACACAGCCACAGTCCTTAGAATTTCAAATACCTATTGCAATAGCAACAACCAGAATTGCCAGAAATTGCATAAAAATTCATCATTTTTAATCAGCCAAGAACAGTAGTCAAATTTCGCGCCAAAACACGGTAATATACAAAATGTAAATTGCCTTAAGATATATGGACATACATTAAAATAGTACGGCTGTGTCGTGGATCATTCCTACCGTTGTTGCCGATCTCCTGTTGTTTTTGCTTCTTACTGCTACTTAATTTTACCTGTTTTTTCTGTTATTTTACCAATCTTAGTCAGAAGAGTAGTAACAGCACAAGGAAAAAAAAAAAAAAA